CTCAATGGCCCATATCCCTCGCTGTTTGGAAAAGCACATAGAAAGCAAGTCCGTGATGGCATTGGTAAAAGATGTCTGAGATTCCTTCTGGCTGGTCTTTCTCCTTGACACAGACAGAAGATGGGTCCCTTGGTGCTGAAAGAGGAACCACAGGTCCACTCAGATATCTGGAGAGGCTTACTGGGGTTCTCCAATGGTTGGGGCTCACTCATTCAACACATACATACAAAACACCTCATTTGTGCATCGTTCTTCTTGTGACTTAGCATAATTTCATAAAGCAGATGACAATCCCTGGGCCTCGACTTACTGAGAGTCAGGTGCTCAGGAGACAGAATAACCAGGTCCTATCTACACAATGTTAGAGGTGAAACCCTCATGGCCTCTTCTACGTATGGTGGCATCCTCCCAGATTCTGATTAGAATGATGGAGTCCAGCAACAAGTATAAACTGGGTGGATTTAGGGTTCTAAAGAGCCTTTTCATCCAGAAAACATGGCGTAAAAGATGTGGCCTCTGCCTGGGAAGACACTAAAGGAGTCCTGGGGCTCATACTTCTTATAATTCCCACGAGAAGGCTGACATCTGGAGACTTCTCCCACAAGAGGCAAATAGTGAGTTCTGTATATGGAGACTTAGGTGCCCTGCAAAGGAGAGGGGAGGCTGGGGTCTCAGCTGGCCACTGGGAGACCCATGCCCCACGCCGTGGCTTCCCAACTCTACCTGTCCTCCTCCAGCCAACATCTGCCCCTACACTCCTAACCCCAGGACCAGGGGACCCAGAGCTGGAGCTTGATGAGCAACCTGCTCACAAATCAGCCTGGAGCTGCAGTCTTGAGTGCCCAGGTGCACAGAGCTGTGCTCCAGGGCCTTTGGGAAGAGAATGTCAGTGGGACACTGGGGCGCACAAGGGTCTGTACAGTCCTGCTGTGTGGCCAGGTCTGCCCCTTCCAGGACAGCACTGATGGCTTGGGGTAGGGTGGGGCTGTCCTCTACACAGGCAGCAACATGCCAGGGACCCAGAACCACGCAAGTGTGCCCTGGAGGGTTGTGTGGGAGAAGGCCAGGCCTCTGACTCAGCTGTCCACTCCATCACCAGCACCATCACCTCCATTTTGTTCACCTGGCCCCTTGAAAACACTTCAGTTTGCTATCAGCCCCCGCAACGGTCATCTTTCCGGATAAAGCTGGCCTTCAGGAACTTCGCCTGGCCTGGACTGGGCGTGGAGGACCATCAGGAACTTGTCCTAGGCCAGTTGGTGCTTCCGGAGCCCAACGAGGCCAAGCCAGATGGTGAGGTGGCTTGCAGTCTGGAAGACTTTCCGAGGGTGGTGTTGTGGGGCTACAATTCCCTTACATTTCATCTGGTCATTTCTGTGCTTGAAAAGCCCAGTGAAAAGTGATTGGTGTCATGACCTTTTCTCCTTTTCCAGATCCTGCTCCACCTCCTGGGCAACACGTATTAACAATGCCGGCCCTGGAGCCAGCACCACCACTGCTGGCGGACCTGGGGCCTGCTCTGGAACCACAGTCAGGTGCAGCCCTGGGTGCACCAGGATATCTATATTCAGCACCAGGACCAGCACCAGGGGAGGGGTCCCCTCCAGCGACACTGCTGGAGCCACAGTCCACCTCAGAGTCCCCCCGTCCCTCTTCCGGGACTGTGAAGAACCAACTTGAGGAGATGCCTGACATCACGACCTTCCCTCCCAGGCTGCTGGCAGAGCAGCTGACCCTCACGGATGCGGTGAGCAGCTGGGTTTTGCAGGCTGTGCCTCTGGCACTAGCTGTCTCAGACCAGCCTCTACCCGAGGAGCGGCCAATGCCCTGGGTCGAATGTCATCCCCACTTCTTACCAAACATGGGATCTGGATGAGTTTCCTCACGCACAAGCCTTCCCTGACTGCATATGGACAGCAGAGATGGCACGTCGCCTGTGCTAGCTCCACAGAATGTGCAGACTGAATGACAGGGGATGGACAGAAAGCAGGACAGGGCAGGTGCTCACTGAGGGGCAGGCAGGGCCATGGGTCACTCACCCAGCCGCTTAGGAGCCTCATGACCCTCAGCGCTTATTAGGTGCCTGATGCATACTAGATTCTATGGGAGACACCCAAACAGAGCCCATAGTTGCAGCTGCCACAAGGAAAGTGCACCGGTATGGAGAGAAGGAGTACAGGGCTGACTGGGATGGGAGGAAGACGAGGCCTCAGGATGGACAGGCCTGAGCCACCTTCTACTCCTTGGAATGCAGATGGCCTGGGAGAAACTGTCACTCTCTCTTCGCACTCTTGTTGGGTTCTGGGCCATGATGCACTCAGGGCCCTCGGTGGGCACAAAATCAAACCCAGGGACTCCCACATGTCTGGAGCCCATTTTAAAGCTTTTTGAACTCCACCTCGGTTCCTGCCAGAGACCATGGATGACCGTGAGCTCAGTCCCTGCCTGGGACTGTGGGTGACTCTGAGCTGGGGTGTGCTCTGTCCATGACACTCTCCTCCTCCCTTAAAGGAGCTGTTCAAGAAGGTGGAGCTCTACGAATGCTTGGGCTCCATCTGGGGTCAACGAGCTAAGGAAGGGAATGAGCACATGGCACCCACAGTTCATGCGACCATCACACACTTCAACAGGCTTACCAACTGCGTCACCACCTCCTGCCTCGGGAACCACGGCATGAGGGCCCGGGACAGGGCCAGGGTGGTGGAGCACTGGATCAAGGTGGCCAGGGTAAGCCATGGTTGAGCCTGAGAATTTCCTCTTTAAAAATGGGGAACTGCCTCTTCTCCTCCATCGGCTTTCAGGATTGGCATCTGTATGTCTGGCTTCAGCCCTGGACATCACCTAACTCCTTCTTGTCACAGACCTTGACTCCCATGGCCCAGTGGTGGCTGCTCACTTCTGACCTGGGCTCTTCCTTGGGTTGAACTAAAATCCTCCTAGATGAGTGACATTCACTCGGCCCCAGTTGTGCCCTCCTGAGGCTCCCTGGGCCTCTGCTTCATCCAGGCAGGGAGATCTCAGCACAGTGGGCTGTGGCTTAAGTGGGCCGGGCTCCAACTGTGGAACTCACAGCTCACTCTTCCCTCTCCAGGAGTGCCTACGCCTCAACAACTTCTCCTCGGTGCACGCCATCGTCTCTGCTCTGTGCAGCAAACCAATATATCGGCTACACGAGACATGGGCAGCAGTGTCCAGGTGAGGAGGGTTCCCTCCACGGGAGCACCAGGGTTGACCTAGGGACCCATAGGTCTCCCCATGTGCCTTCAACCACTCTGAAAGGTTCTTGGAGACCAGGGACACTGGAAGCAGGGATGGGCTGGTAGGTGTGGTCACTAAGCTGCCCTGGACTTGATTTCCAACTCAGGACTAAGGATTTTTAACCATCAGGAACAGACTGGAGCCAACTGGAGGCTTTCAGGTGTTTGTACCCAGCAGTGGAACTGTGTTCAGCTGGAAGCTAACTGTGAACACGCAGGGGCTCATGTGAAGTGGAGATGGGCCAGAGGAGGAGCATGACGGGTCCCACCCTGGTCCTCTGGAGCCCTTGTCTTCAGAGGACCCTACTGGAAACTCTCACCCATGAAGTTGGGATTCTCTGAGTTTTCAAACAAAAGGGATTGGATTGGAACTCACAAATCTCTCTGCTTATTCCCAAATTTGCTTTTCTTTCTTTTGTCTGCCCGTAGCAAAAGCACAAAACATCTAAAACAACTCTGCAAAAAAGACACTGCTGTGAAGAGGGACCTGCTGATCAAGGTACACTGGAGTCTGGGAGATGCGGGACAAGTGTTTAAGGGTCAGAGGAAAGACTGAGTTTGGAAGGGCATTGGACCTGGTGTGGAGTTGTTATTTTCTTTTGACTTACCTACTAAAAGGGGACTTGAAAAATTCCCTCCATGCCTACCTTGGGCAAACAGTAAGAGAGGTGTGTGGGTCCACAGGCACGTGGGGGCACCGGGGCAGGAGGCCCTGGAAATGGGATGTGGCAATGGCTGCTGGGGTTCTGAGCGGGGGTGATGAGCTGCAGCATTAGCAGGGCTCTGGTTCCCGTGCTTGTCAGTGCTGCTGGCATGGAGCTTCCTCCAGGCTGGGAGGTGGTCATGGTAGGTGGGACTTTCTTTCTTCCTCAAACTGGAAAGCAATTCCTCAGGAAGCCAGACCTCTGCTGCTGCTTCTGTCTGCAGCACATCTCCAAAGGCAGTGGCCTCTGCCCACACTGGGGGAGAGGGGGAACAACAACAGAGGAAGCTCATGTGCCAGGGAGTCCAGTGGGCTGCCCAGCTTTGGGTACCAATGGGCATACTCGGGATAGATGTACGTGTTTGCTGCGACTCCCTGCTCTGCCCTTTGCAGACACCCGAAAACGGTCATGTCACAGGATTCTCACCAGTTAGCAGTGACACATGCTCATGACAAGTATCTGGGGGATTCATGCATTCCTAGGGGATCCTCCCTGACCAGATCTCAGAATATTCCACGCAAACGGGAAGACAACTTGTCACCCCACCCAGGATTCCGGAAAAGCCTGCCATGTCAGTCAGAGATGGCACCTCAGGAGGCCACTTCCTGAGTGGAGGAAGAGAGTTCTGTGCACGGAACTCCCCTGGGGGATCATTGGCGAGGCAAAACCTTTGGCATGGCTCAAACCCAATTTGTGTGGCAGAGACTCCAGTGGGGCTCAGATACGCAGGTGCCACTTAACCAGGTCTCCTAAAACACCCTGTCCCTTTCCCATCACGACTGTGCCTGGCTGGAGACCTAGACACTCAGAGACTCCAGAGAACACGACCCTGATGGGTAGCGGTGCTGGGATATGGGGTGAAGGCAGCGGGACAGAGCTTCCGGGATGGGGAGGCGGCGCCTTCTCTTTCGGGTCCCTGGGGAGTCACTGTCCACTCTGGGTCTCTGTTTCCTCATCTGGAAAATGAAGGGATGCTGAGCCTGTAGTGCAGCCCTCACTGGATGGAAATGAGGTTCAAGAAAAGAAAATAATTTGCTGGTGCTCATGCCTGGTTCTTTCTCAGAGGGATGAGGGGGAGAACAATGGCAACAGGAAACAGTACTCAGGCGGTCTTGTGAGGTAGCTGTGGTTTTCATTGCTCTTTACAGAAGAGGAAACAGTCTCAGGGAGGCCCGGCTGCATGAGTGGGTGACACACACAGGGAGTGTGGAGCTGGCCAGTGGTATGAGCACTGTGCCAGGTGACCCACGCCAGTCCCTGGGGATCCAAGTGTGGGGTGGCTGGGGTGTAACTGGGGGAAGAGAGGAGAGCCTCACTGTCTCCATCACTGGCACCTGGCAGGCGGGGAGCTTTAAGGTGGCCACCCAGGAGAGGAACCCCCAGAGAGCCCAGATGAGGCTGCAGAGGCAGAAGAAGGTGAGTGAGGCTTTGGCGTGGAGAGGCCGCAGGGGATCACAGGACAGGGCTCCCTTCCCTGCCAGCTGGAGGCCTCCATGTGAAGACCGCAAGGACTTACTCTCCAGTCCTGTCCTCCTGTGGACACTGGGCCTGGAAAACCTCCATTTTAGAGACAGAGCAAGGGTCTGGGAAAGCTGGACTCAGAGTGGATGTGGGGAAGGGTAAGGCTGGGATCACATGCCCTTGTGAATTGTTAAAATCCCACCGTAGAGGTAACTAGGAGTGCTTGCTAGCTTGGGGGTCAGGTGGGATAGAGGAGGCAGAGAATTGGGAAAGGCAGTGGAGGGTCTTTGGCTGCTCCAACAGGGAGACCTGAAGAGGGGAGTTTCGGGAGACAGGGGCTGGTGGGACTTCATGAGACAGGACCTTGGGCAGGTACCTGAGGGCCAATAC